AATTATTATAAGATCATCAGTGGCGGGACTGTCATTCATGGTTTGTTTCGTTTTATTTCCCCCAACAATGAACTTTGTAACTTTTAGGACAAAAATTCTAGCCGCGGATCTAGTCGTGTAATTGTTATACAGCTAGAGCAGCTGCCATTTTGGTTTTTTGAATATCGAAAACCCCGCGCGTAAAAAATTGTTCTGCTAGCAGCGGTGTTGTTGGTGTTTGGTTTAACGATACAGTTTGTCCGTTGTATGCAATGCGAGAAATTCACGGGGACGATATACGGGTGATCGCACCGTCGTAATATATAGTTGATATATTTTTAATTGGAAAGTTTTCTTTTTTTGTTTTCTATTTTTGTTACATTGTTGCTCGAGGCAGGTAGCAGCATGAGGGTAGTCTATCTATTTTTAAGAGTGCGCACCGAGGAATTGACGTAATGACGAAAGTGTAATTACGTATATATATATATATCTTATTTTCCGTACTTAGTAGCTATAGTCCGAAATGGACGCGTTTAGAAACTGAGCAGGAGAAATCTTTAGCACTGTACGCGTATTTCTAACAAACACTAGCGTAAGTAGACCTATCACCCTGTGAAGTCATCGGTTAGGCACTTCCGGTGACGAGTTTCCTGCTCGTCAAACTGTGATATGAAACGCGAAATATCTTTCATTACCAACGAGCTCTCTACCTCTTCCTCCCCCGCTCTCTCTAATGCTACCCGTTTACCAATTCCAACCCTTTGCCTATACATGCTTCCTGCATTTCCATTCCCCTGCCTCACCCTCTTTCCGCATGATGCATCCCGTATCTTTCACTTTCCCACACGATTTGTATTCCAATACCCTTTCGACTCTCATACGATCAGTTGTAAGATAACAACATCATTACCTAATTACCTCATTCTCATTATTAATAATAAGGTTATTATTCTACTCCTGATACGATACTGCTCTGCTGCATTAGGGCAATTTTCAGTAACAGCAGCACCAGCAGCGCGTTATCAACTTTCAATAACAGAGACAAAAGAGACCACATGCTAACCGCATCACAATTAACCGGCAATTAACGACCGGTAATTACAAATTATTGCCAGCGTCTCATTCCGGCTTACTACATTAAAGGATTAAGAGAAGCAAGAACAGACCAAGCGAGGTCACATACGAAGTGCCACGCTCGCAGGAGACGTGACAACAAGAGATCTGGGTATTATAAGCTTCTGGTGAGAACCGCAGATATCATATAATTATACACGTATATATATGATATCTAGGGTGAGAACCATGCGCGCAATGACGTCATACGCATGGTAGTGACGTGAGGTAACACAATGACGCTCTCCCGACTGCCTCTACTAACTTAAATACACATACTAAACACGTCTACACACCACGTCTGCTAAACACGTCTACACACCACGTCTGCTAAACACGTCTTCATAACATGTATACTAAACACGTTTTCTTAACACGTCTTCATAACACGTCTACGAAACACATCTACTAAGCACATCTACTAAACACGTCTACTAAACACGTCTACACACCATGTCTGCTAAACACGTCTTCATAACATGTATACTAAACACATTTACTAAACACGTCTACTAAACACGTTCATTAAACACGTCTACGAAACACATCTACTAAACGCGTTCATTAAACACGTCTACTAAACACGTCTACATAACACATCTACTAAACGCGTTCATTAAACACGTCTACATAACACGTCTACTAAACACGTCTTCACAACACGTCTACTAAACACGTCTTCACAACACGCCTAATAAACACGTCCACTAAACACATCTACTAAACACGTCTACATAACGTCTACTAAACACGTTTACTAAACAAGTTTACTACGTGCATCTACTCTACTAAGGCACAAGCTTGAAGAACGCTGTGTACGACAAGCACGTTCAATTGTTATCGGCGTGTACGTACACGAGAAGTCGACGATGTGTGTTGGCACTTTCTCGGGCGTCACGTCTGCAGGAATGGTGATTTCCTCCGCTCTCGCGGGCACCTAATCCCAGCAAAAAATTATTATCAGCTGCCATCATTTGATAAATCGAGGGGCTGTGATAAACAGTCTTGAACACGTAACAACGAAATCGAATAATTAACACATGGAACAACGTAATTACCTTACAAAACATGAAGCGCTTATAATTAACAATTATAATTGACAATTACAATTAATTATGTGACGCATGTGCAGACATGATTTATGTGAAATGGTGCATATGGCATTTGCTGCACGTATGTGTGGAAATTAAGTGCTGTGTTTTTTCGATTTAGACGATCCGGAAGAAAGTACAGTGAGAAAGTTTGAGACTCGCAAATGTTACATAATTAACCTTACCTCTTCTGGAAATTCTTCGCTCACAAGAGACAGTATTAGTGAAGTTTTTCCGACACCATCTGCAAGAACAAGGTGACAAATCAAATCATGTTTAACACATCTAGAACTTTTTCAGGTAGATGTGGAAATTAATGCTGTTAAACATCACAGATTAGACGCGACCACAGCGCTTGACGATCACATGCACCATTAAAAAGAGAAGGTTAAAATCACATTGGCATACCTTCTCCTAGCAAGAGGATCCTGACATCTCTCTTTTGGACTAGAAGCTTCAACCCAGCCATCACCGCGTTGTGTCTTGATACAGTGTCTGAACATAGATGGTAGAAACAAACAACATCTCAATGACACTACTCGCGGATCAAGGATAGTTTGGTAACCCACAAATGTGTTTTCTCATATATGCTAAACTAATCAGGAGTGCTAAACTAGGCTTGAGTGCCCTACTCGCTAGTGATCATTACATGTATGAATTGATTTACGCACATATGTACACATGTACGCCCATGGGTATGGTTACGGTGAGGATGTATGAAGTATGCTGCATGCTATGCACGGGCTCTAGAATAGCACTGGGCACCGTAGAACTAGAAACGACACGTTGAAGAAGAATCAAACTATGATATAGATTGTTATTGGCGCTTCTCTAAAACCATAGATATAGAATAAAGACCGATGCTAAAACCGACAGATCTAGCAACTTTGATCTTGGAAGACTTGCAATTGCATCCTGATTGCATCATACATCACGATACAACTGAACTAGTTCATCAGTCATCATCAGTCATTAAAACTATCATGAATGGCAAGAAATCCAAATAATGAATACAATTTCACTTACGTTAACTGGATTCAGTAAGGATAAGGGAAATAGGAATAGCAATAAGAATTAAAATTTAACATTTCAATTCGAGTTTATGATCAAGTTAATGCTGGTGAGGGTCGCAGCGGTACACATGCGCGGCAGTCGCGAGCCGTTAACCAATCAAAATTCTACTTTTTTCGACGTAATCGCAATTAAAACTATATCGCAGAAGCTTAAATTTAGGGATTACACGGTTGTTATAGTTTAAAAATATGCTAATACTCGATTTATGTGTGTGTGGGTAAGATCATAATGTTATTAAAACTCAGAGAAACGTTGTCAGGTAACATCTAAATATCTGTACGGGTGGCGCCACGGTCGGCTCTCACGAGCCAATGGGAATTTGGGTCTGATTTATTAATCCAAACCGAGATTGGAGTAATATTCGCTTGACCGTTATATATGCATAGATATACACAGGCGCGGCGTCACGGGGGGCACGGGGGGGGGCAGTTGCCCCCCCTATAATTTAAAAAAATGGGAAAAAAGGAAAAAACAGAGAAAAAGAAACTGGTTCGACAGGCCTGAAAGCTGTTGTTGTGCGGGGGAGGGGGAAAATTCAGCCCGAATCCCAGCTCTTACTAATTCTAATTATTAAAAGGAAGTGGCTATTCTTACGACGAGTCGTAAGAATTATTTTTGGACTATTCTTACGACATGCAAACGCGCACGCGCATGCGTTGCGTATTTCGTTATACACCATAGATTGTTTTTGTGAGATATATTACCTATATAAAGAAATGGAGTCGGTTTAAAGTTTGTGTTAGGGTTAGGGTTAGGTAGTAGGTGTAGTCGACTCCCTAAACTAGAATTATATTACCTATTAATAGTATTATGCGC